GCCCCTTCCCACAGGGCCCTGCGAGGCCGGCGTTATTAGACCCACTTCGTGGATGGGAGGACTGAGGCATGGCGAGATAGGGCACTGGCTTGGAGTCACCAGGCAGGATGCAAACCTGAGTCTGACCTCCTTGGAGAGGTGGTGGAGAGAAATAAAACCATCTCCCGGGTGCAGGTCAGGGGCTGGCCCTCAGTAACGCTGTGTGGAATTACCTTGAGACATTCATGGAACACTTTCCGTATGTTGGGTGCCATGCTAAGCCTCACCCCGTCTGACCGCCCCACACCACCTGGAGGCAGGGCAGCTGAGGCTGGTCAGGTGAGGTCACCTGCCCGCAGGTGTGTGGCTGGAACCGGGGCTCCCCGTAGTCCTTATCAGCAGGGGACGGAGGGGCCGCACTGAACCTGCACTGTGATCACCCAACTGCAGACAAGCCCTTGGTGTCACCTTGAGGCACGTTCCAAGGGACTCATGACCTCTGTCTCCTCTAGGACTCTTTTCCAGTCAAGCTCACTTACTACAGCATCCAGACAACAAAACCCAATTGGGATTTTCTGGGTCAGTGACCTCATTCTCCAGGGGGAAGACAGGAGACACGCAAACACGTAAGTAAATAGGAATTCAGAGAGTGATGGGAGAAAAATCCAAGTGGGGGGCAAGGAGAGCTGGGGCTGGATGTGGGGTGGCCATTTTATACAGGCAGGTGAGGGACCATCCCTCTAGGAAGGTGTCATGCGAGCTGTAAGAAGCAAGGGACGAGGCTGAGCAGGTATCTGGGGGAAGAGCATTTGAGGCAGAGGAATGGCAGGTGCAAAGGTCCTGAGGTGGAAGTGGGCTCAGTAAGTTGAAGGAAGGCAGTGTGGCTAGAGCAGGGTGCACAAGGGAACCATGATCCAGGGTGGGGCCACCAAGGTGGGGCAGATATGGTACGGTCTTGTGAGCTCTTGTCCACACTTTGGCTTTGCCCTCAGTGAAGGGTTTTGAGCAAAGCGAGGGCGGGATCTGGGTTTTAAATGTATTGTGCTGAGAGTGAAGGGGGAGGCGGGCGCAGGGGTGGAGGCAGGGGCCCTAGTGAAGGGCTGTGAGAGGTGATGCAGGCTCAGACCGGTGGAGGTGAGAAGCAACCCCATTCTGAGTGACAGTGAAGCCAGGAGCCCGGCCACGTGGGTGTGCTGAGTGACAGGTGTCAGGGAAGACCCTGGCCACCGGGAGGAGGTGGAGCTGATTCGCTAAGGGGAGCAGCGCTGGGAGGGAGCAGCAGACCCCTCATTGCCCCTGCCGTGTGCGTGCAGGTGTGCAGGCTTCCAGAGGCCAAGCCCCCGGGCTCTGGGCTCTGCCTGCAGGAGGGGCAGGCGGAAGCTCCAGCTCAGCAACCCCCAGAGCAGCCTCCGCCCACCTGGGGCCCCGTCCCTCCACCTGGGGCAGCGCTGTGGTCCCAGGTCCCCAGGGGGGTGCACTCGCTTTCACACCCAGAGCCCCAAGGACAGGCAGCAAAGGGACAGCCTGCCAGGGAGACTGAGCTGGAGGCACAGGAGAGCCAGAGCGAAGGGCTGGGCCTTTGAAGAGAGGCTTTAGGAGGAAGGAGGCATCCATCCGTCTGCCCGGGCTGCTGAGGGGCCAGGCCAGATAGGGCGGCGCGGACCGTGGAGGAGCTCTGTGGAGGTCGCTGGGACCTGGATCAAAGCAGGTTGGGTGGAGAGGTGGGGCCGGAGCCCCATGGGGTGGTGGGTTCAAGAGAGAACAGGAGGGAACAACGGGGCCCAAAGACAGGCAGGGCTGCTCCGCAGGCCGCAGTGGGGTGCAGAGAGGGAATGAGAGCGGGAAGAAAAGGGTGGTTTTAACAGCATATTATATAAAAATGGGAGGGATGCAGAGGACAAGGAAACCGATGGCGCAGCGAGGGGCAGGGGGGGCGGAGCTGCTGAGCAGCGAGGGCAGCTGGCCTTGGCCAGGGCCCCTGGGCCCAGCGGGAAGGGGAGGGCGAGCGGCAGGCAAAGGGGTGGCGGTGGCAGCAGAGCCCTGAAAAGAAGTTCTCGGCTGATCCATTTGCTCCGGGAAGTGGGAGGCAAGAAGAAAGGCTGGGAGTGCGGATGGGGGGCGGAGGGGGCGTGCGGGGACTGCAGAGCGACGGGAGGCTGGAGGCGGGCAGCAGCCGCTGGGGAGGGAGGGAGGGGGGAGCTGAGCCCCACCCGAAGTGAGGACTTGAACGTATCCCGCTCCACCTGCAGGAAGGGGGACCGCGGACACCACGCACCACCGGCTGTATTTCCAGAATTATCTGGTATCCATGGTCACTCCCCAGAGCTGCTCCTTTGCAGGAAAACGCTCTGTTCTGAGTGAGAACAGCCTGGAACTCCTCACCCTCCCAGGCGACTCCAAGATCCTGCGCCCTAACCACTGGGGTCCAGGGCCCCTGGGGAGGAAGGCGAGTGACACCTTGAGAAGGACAGGGGCACAGAGTGGCCACGTCTCCACTGCCAGGCAAGAGAGGGAACTAAAGCCCGTTCCCTCCAGCTCCTGCAGGGGGCGCTGGGGAGGCAAAGGCAGGGCCAGAAGATGGGTTAGAAATGAGCAGATAAGGGACCACAGGATGAGGGATGGTGGGACACTGGGGCTGGGAGGGGGCAGCAGAAGCCCACCTGGCATGCCCTGTGGTGGACTGGGAGTGGCAGGGCAGCCCAGGAGAGAGGGGAGGGCAAATCCCCCGCCTGGCTGGTCCCAGCGCGTGTCGTTCCCTAAAACACTGTGGCGGGCACAGTGGGGATCCAAAGTTTCCTGTGGGCAGAGAAGCGTGGACAGTCACTGGAGCAGAGGGCATCTGGAGAGCCCACTGTGACCACCCAGAGGGTGGCAGGATGGGCCACCCTCTTGCAGTGAGGGTGGTGCCTTGTGCCGGAAGGATGAGGGGG